CCAGATCAGAGCGAACACAAATAGGAAGTTCCCCTAATGGGCCCCTGGGCCTCCCTCTGCCCCACCCTCCTCACTAGTGCATTTGGGTCTGGAAACCCAGCAGGGAAACCCGGAAGGTAGGTCCTGCCTCACCATGACCAGCTCTGACCCCTGACCTCCCCATTGTCCTGACACATTCAGGTCCAATAAAAGCCGCAGCCACTCCCATCAGGCGGCAGTGACCTGAGGTCCAGTTCCCCCAGGAAAGTGAGAAACAGCACCAACCCCACAGCCTGGCCTCCCTTTCCCAGAGGGAGGACCTGGGAGGCAGGCTCCTGGCTGCCATGGAGACGCTGCCCCCTCTCCTTGGAGCCTCTGCCTCCCCCACCTCCCTCAGGGGGGGACAGGCCCCGGGGCCCATACGTGACCTCTGACCCTACACCCCACAGTGCATCTCCTTCTGCTTCCATCCCACAAAGTGCTCCCCCAGGTCACCTTGAATCATCGCTTAGTGTCCCCCCCTCACAAGGCCCTGGTCCCGGTGGTGCTGTCACTGTCACTTCCCCTTCTGTGTCCAGGGAGTTGGGGTCACAGTGACTCAGTCAGACAGTCAGACACCAGACTCTCCTATGGACAGAAAACAGACGAGTGGGAAATATTATGTTCAATTTCCCTATCAATGAGGATGCCAGTTACTAGGTAAAGCTTGACCGAAAAGCATGTGTAAAAACGCAATATGTATAATCTACTAGACAGAAGGGAAGGACATTGAGAGAACAATATTTGTGTGCTGGAAAGAGAGTGGTTAATTTCTAACAGGGGAGGAATCCCATAAAAAAAATAAACTGTGACCTGCAAATTAGGGACCTCGCCTCCTAGGGCTGGTCGCTGCTCTGGACCTGATCCTGGGAGGAAAGTTCCCTAAGTGACAGTAGCTCAGTTCTGACCATGAACAGCCAGGGAGACGGGCCCAGACTCCCAGGAGGAGGCGGAGGGGAACATAGAGAGAGTCCTGAGGGGATGAGGAGGCCACCTCAGGGGGCACCTGGATGCCCTGAGCCAGGGGGTCAGTGCACAGAGCTGGGGGAGGCCAGACCTGTCCCTCATGGGCTGAGTCAGCAGGGGACACAGTGGTGCATCCAGGCCTGGGCACCAGGGGGCGCTCTGGGGCTGCTGCTGAAGGGCTGGGCTCATTAGAGCTGCAACCTGTTCCCTGGTCCTGCCTGGTGCCCTGTGCTCAGGGCTCACAGCTGTGACCTTGCCACCCCCTGGGCCCCACACAGCCCCACCCCTGCCCTCACCCTGCCATCCTCAGGCACAGGGACCAGAACCATGGCCTAGGGAAGGATCAAACCAGGGGGTCCTCATTTGCATGAGTTGGCCCTCCCTCCCGCAGACTATGAAGAGGGGAAGGGAGAGGTGTGGGGAGCTCTGCTTCAGCTGTGGGGCCTCAGGAGCAGGACTCAGGGATGACCTCCACCATGGCCTGGGCCCCTCTCCTCCTCACCCTCCTGGCTCACTGCACAGGTGACTGGATGAGGGGACGGGGAAGGCGCCTTGGGAAGACACATGGGCCCTGCTTCCTCCTCTTGTCTCTACACCCAGACTCACCATCTCTGTGTCTCCCCCTCTTGCAGGATCCTGGGCCCAGTCTGTGCTGACTCAGCCATCCTCAGTGTCGGGGGCCCCGGGCGAGAGGGTCTCCATCTCCTGCACTGGGAGCAGCTCCAACGTTGGATATGGTTACAATGTGCACTGGTACCAGCAGCTCCCAGGAAAGGCCCCCAAACTTCTCATCTATGATAATAGCAACCGACCCTCAGGGGTCCCTGACCGGTTCTCTGGCTCCAAGTCTGGCAGCTCAGGCACCCTGAGCATCACGGGGCTGCAGGCTGAGGACGAGGGCATCTATCACTGCCAGTCCTATGACAGCAGTCTCAGTGCTCGCACAGTGCTGCAGGCCTGTTGGGAAGTGAGACAAAAACCCGCTGTCCCGCTGCAGTGGGGCCCGGGCAGCTCCATCCTCTGATGAGACAGCTCTGCCTTTGGTGGCGCAAAACCGGGCTCAGAGGCCCCTCTCCTCCACCAGGAACCGTGTCTTCAAAACCTGTCGTCACCCTTTGAACCTGCCCCTCAAGCCCGCCTGTGGTAGCAGCACACGGTGTGCGTGTCTCAGCCTGAGTAGACCTGCCTGGGCGTCAGGGGGCGGCTGCCCTCGGAATCCAGGCCAGGGCAGGGCAGACTCAGGACCCCGACTTCAGCTGTGCCTGCGTCAGAGCCCCTCATAGAGGCACCGTGTCTGGGGCCCCCCAAACAGCCTGGGCCCCCCATCCAGCCAGAGAGCAGCGCCTGTGTGTCCCTGACCCGCTCCCTGGGGCACGTCTGGCAGTCCTATGATGACAGAGCCCCACTGGGCGGGCACTGAGGGCAAGGCTGCCTGTCCAGGCCCCTCCTGTGCCCGCAGCCCCAGTGCCCACCCAGAGCCCGTCCTGTGGGACTGAGTCCACAGGGAGCCCTTCTCACCTGCCAGGAGGGGCGCCCCAGCACCTGCCACTCAGGCTCAGCCAGGGCCTCTGCTTCTACTGCTGCCCCTCCTCCCAGGGCCAGGCACCAGGGCAGTCCCTGGAGCATGAATGGGCCTCCTTCCCTCTCCGCTCAGAGGCCCTCACAGCAGCCTCCTCCTGGACACAAGGCCTGACACCAAACAGGAGGCCCATCCCCATCAGCGGGGACACTGAGCCCCTTGGCCCTGCAGCCCCGGGTCTGAGCTGGGGACCATCTGTGGTCACTTCAGACCTGAACCCCGACGAGGGCCCCTGCGTCTCCCTCAGGGTCAGTGACTGTGTCCAGGACCTTCCCCAGCCGGGCCCTCCTCCCTGATGCTCAGTGGGAGCGGCTGAGGCCTTTGTGCACAGAGAGGCCCCTCTGTCCCTGCTGCCCCGGCCCCGGGTCTCAGGCCGCAGCGCCCACCGGGGTCCTTGGGCACAACCGCTGTCCCCCATCAGTGCTGAGCTCTGACGCTCACTCCTCCTGTGAGTCACTGGCTGCTCCTCTCGGGGACCCTGAGCCCTGAGGAGTGAGGGCCACAGTGTGGCTCCTGGTCTTTGGGGCAATGCCCTCCCCCCTCAGGAGCTCACACGTTGCTGTGGGACGCGTCCTACGTGTGGGGAGAGTGTCAGTCACCACGTCTGCCAGCTCCTCACCATCCCCTGTAGCTTGTGCCTAAAATGAGGAAACAGCACGAAAGGACAGGCAGGGAATTTAAAATATAAGCACATTTTAGGACACCGAAGATACAATTGGTTCACAGAAAAGCAGCACATACAACCGTTGGAATATAAAGGCTTTTCCTAAAATTTAAATGCCCCACGTGCTACAAGGCCCACCAGTAAATGTGGAGCCCACCAAACCGTTTTTTCATAATGAATCACTGAGTCAAATCACATGACAATGATTTGATGCCTTACATGGTTTGAAATGTTGGCTGAATGGTCCTCCTTTGAATGTGACCCTGAGGGTATTTCTGGAAAATTCCTTTCTCTGTCATTGACCTGAACAGCCCCCAGGAGCTCATCACACCTGAGCAGCTCCCTCACCTGTGATGTTGGAAAGTAAGCTCACTGTGTGCTTACTTTTGTAAAATCTTTACTGGAAGAGAAACCGTATTCATTTGTCATTTGTGAATGTTTAAGCTCATCACACAGATGCAAACCTGAGAGGGAAATGCTACGGTGATCAATACAGAGAATCACATCGCAGTATCTGGGCTCAGACCGTGGGTGTGGGAACAGGGACAGAGACCTGGGAGCCCACAGCCAGCTGGGCTGTCAGGGCTTTGGGGCAGAGGAGGGTGTGTCCTCCCACCAGCAGGGGGCGCTGTGGGACTGCCAGGTGATCAGCACACAGCTGTTCAGTGAGACCTTCACACACAGGCCCCTGCACTGTGGGCTCCCTGCTGTCCTTGGTGGCCTGGCAGCGCCCCCTGAGCAGGTCCCTGTGTGTGGTCTCAGCAGGTGCTTCCTCCCAGGGTCCCCAAGGGGTGAGCCCACCTCCATGCTCCTCAGTCTGGGGTGTGAGCTGAGCTCCAGCCCCAGGGCCCAGGGAGGGGCTGGGCAGTCCCTGGAGGGGCTCCCATTTGCATGGCAGCCCCTCCTCTGGCAGAGGGTGGGGGAGAAAAGGAGGCCTGGGCAGCCCAGCCCACTGTGGGCTCAGGGCTGTGAGCACCATGGCCTGGACTCCTCTGCTCCTCGTGCTCCTCTCTCACTGCACAGGTAGGGACAGGCCTGGGACCAGGCTCCTTCCCTTCCTGCTCAGTCTCCTGGGAAACGTCCCCTGGTCCCTGCCCATCACTGACAAGTGTCTGTGTCTGCAGGGTCCCTCTCCCAGCCTGTGGTGACTCAGCCGCCCTCCCTCTCTGCATCTCCGGGAGCCACAGCCAGACTCACCTGCACCTTGAGCAGTGGCTCCAGTGTTGGCAGCTACTGGATATCCTGGTACCAGCAGAAGCCAGGGAGCCGTCCCCGGTACCTCCTGGCCTACTACTCAGACTCAAATAAGCTCCAGGGCTCCGGGGTCCCCAGCCGCTTTTCTGGATCCAAAGATGCCTCAGCCAATGCGGGGCTCCTGACCATCTCGGGGCTGCAGCCTGAGGATGAGGCTGACTATTACTGTAACACATATGAAGGCAACTCTGACATTTACACAGTGGTGCAGACCCACAGGGAAGTGAGACAAAAACCTCCTCTCCGCTCTCCCTGCCTGACCTTGGCCCCTGCTGGTGGTGTCTAAGTCCCCCAACGCCCTTAGGACACTCAGCATCGTAACATTTCACGTGAAGACTGGGTGTGCGCTTACTTTTTATGAACGTGTGAGGCTGTATTTCTAATTGCCTCCCAGACCTTCACCTCCTTGTTAAGGGAGGAACCATGTAAGACCCGATCCTTACGACTAAAGAGGGACCATCTGACCGGTCACTCAGCCCAGATCCCTCCCGGTGACTCCATGTCCTTCCTCCTCTCCGCCCTCGGCGTGTTTTCCGGTCAACAGTCCTGGAGAGTCTCCCTGTGCCCAGCCGCGTGCAGCCCGCCTCCTCCTCTCCCCCCTACATTGTTCTTTTCCAACCACATGGCTTCTGACCTGCTGTGCTGCTCTCCCCACCCCTCCTGCTCCCCAAGCCCCGGTCCCCTCCTGGTGGGAGAAGCCTCACGTCCTATTTGGCCTCTTCTGCAGCGACTCCGCATAGAGAAC